TTAAAAAAATACCCAAGTTATAAGGAAAAAAACCCTCTAAAAATCAACAAACGATTTTGAACAGACCTGGCTCCTAAGAGGATATATGGCAAATAAGCACATGAAAACCAGGATTTTAAACCATATGCATACCTCTAAAGTCCTGGTTCCAGAAGGATTTTAGAGTAATTTTCAAGTTTAAAAAGTGGTTTCAGCTCTTTGTTTTGATGTTCTTCCTCTTTGGAAGATCCTGTTTTTCCTGGCTCAGCGTCCTGAGACTGAGCACACACCAGGCACACAAATGCCTTTTCTGACTGATGAATGGACAGGATAAGTAGGTGGACCGAGTCTAGAATGAGAAGGCTCTTGGATGGACTGGCAGGTGGGGCTATCCTGGATCATGGCAAAGTCACCACTGAATGACTTCAAAAGCTGCATTTTTAAAAACTGTCTTAATTAAAGGAAGAATTAAATGAATGGAACCAAGCCCCTCTATTTTCAGTTCTGATTTAGCAGCCAACATTCATACAAAATTTGTGTTAGGAGTAAGACTTAGTGTTTCCTAACATAGAATAAGTTAAAGGTAGCTAAAGAATTATATTAGGACCCTGTAACATGTCAGGGCCTGTTGGTGAGGAAGGCTATGGTGAATACCTATAAAAATGTTTTTGCTCAAGGCTGTCGAGAATAGGCTCAACATGGATGTTTTAAAAAAGGAGATTTTACGTAGAAGGGGAGTCCAGGTCAATATTAGGAGGGAGATAAAGTGAAAAAGTTTGAGTGAACTTGGGGAAAAAGGGCTCTTAACCTAGGGAGGAATTAATGGAAGGGAGGTGCTAGGTGTGGCCAAAACACATTTGTTATAGTATGTCTTGCATGCATGTTTGCCTTAGCTTAAACTAAATGAGCTCAGTAGCCAAAAGGGAGATTTCATTCTATCTCCTACTTCTCCCTACCCCCCAAATCCTTATCCTTTCATTCCTTTAACTGAATGCACATTGAGGAACTTAGGAGAAAGAAAGTAATAAAAGATTTCTTAGACATTTCTGTAGACCTCCATGCGGCTGCCTGCCTGCTACTGAAAGTTCCCAGCACCACGAAGCCCTGGGTATTCTTTCTCTTTTGCCTGGCCAGAGGGTCTTGGCAGCCCCTTAGCATGGAGCACTGTGTGATGAGATGTAGGTGGTGAGGAAACAGTGGCCGAGGTACTCATGGGAGCCAGCCCTGTCCAGGTGGAAGTAGGAGAATTTGATGAAGGGGCCGAGGAAGTTGAAGAAGTGGTGGCTGAAAGCCCCTGCCAAAGCCATCACTGCAAACACTGCGAGTTGTGACAGCTAGATGAGAACAACACCCCTGTGTGTGTGTGCCATGACCCTACCAGCTGCCCTGCCCCCTGTTGGTGAGTTTGAGAAGGTGTGCAGCAATGCCAACAAGACCTTTGACTCGTCCTGCTATTTCTTTGCCACCAAGTGCACCCTGGAGGGCACCAAAAAGAGCCATAAACTCCACCTGGACTACATCAGACCCTGCAAATAAATCCTCTGCCTGGACTCCAAGCTGACTGAATTTCCCCTGCACATGTAGGGCTGGCTCAGGAACATCTTGGTCACTCTATGTGAAAAGGATGAGGGCAACAACCTCCTGACCAAGAAGCAGAGCTGCGGATGAAGAAGAACCACGAGAGCAGAAGTACCTGGAGTCTGGAAACGATGCCATGTTGCTGCCAGGATTTCGAAAAGAACTACAATGTGTACATCTTCCTTGTGCAGTTGGCCAGCTGGACCAGCACCCCACTGACAGGTACCTCTCCCACACTAAGCCCCTCATCCCAATGGAGCACTTGCACCATCCGCTTTTTTGAGATTTGTGACCTGGACAAGTACATCACTCTGCATGAGTGGGCTGGCTGGCTTTGGCATTAAGGAGCAAGATAGCAACAAGGACAAATATCTCGTGATCTAAATTCACACTTCCTTCTGTAGTACTGGATTCTGTGTCTTTAACCTTTCCCTTCCTGTTTCAAACCCGCAATTTTTAAAATGTTTGGATGGTTTGTTGTTTTGCCTGGAGACAAGGTGATAACATAGATTTAAAAAATGAACATATTAATGGTGCTAAAAGTGGAAATTGTAACCCAAGTCATGACATCTTAGTTATAGGTTGGCCTCTTGCTCACCCCCTAATGGTCCCATTTTTTTCTCTGGTCATTTGAAGCTCTGGCCATTGTCTTAGTGAAAAATATGTGGGAACTTTGATCTGCTCACATCTGCCTTTCAACAACTATAGCATCTCAGATTTGCTCTCTGTTTCTCTGTTTCAAACTAATGCTTACTAAGTGAGACTTTCCTGTCAATTTTATGTCAGGGTATTGGCTGCAGGTGGGTTCTTTCCCATGTCGCCTGAAGGTGGGCAAAGGGAAGTAACAGACATGTGAGGTTGGCAAGGATGCTTCTGGGACTACAGGACTAGTGGGAGAAATTTCTGGAAAATCTCCCAACCAGACAGCAGATACTAGTCATGTTTGCCTGGGGCTGAACTGAAAGAACACGAGACTGTGTTACGAAAGCATGTAAGCTCTCACTTAAACCCAGTTCCTCACCATTTTCCCCATCATCTACCAGGGCTTTTTTTTTTTTTCTTTTCACCTTAGGCTATTTGCTCAAATGTTTGGGAGCAGGGGGCCAACAGTCTGCTAGAATCCACGAAGCCTTGGGGATTGATGGGATGTAGCTTTGGATCACGACATATCCTATAGGACTTCTCCTCTCCTGTCTTTTGGAGAGGCAGAACTGGGAAGCTGTTTCAGCCAGGAAAGCCAAAATCAAGAATGAGGTGTAGAAAGTTGTAAAACAGAAAAAGTGGAGTTGGTGAATTGGTTTTGTTTTCTGAGTTTTGGGGGGTTTTTGTCTGTTTTGGGTGGCTGCTGTGAGGATTCTTTCCCTAGGTTTCTAGAATGTTCCTCCTTTTCTCCCCTCCCCCCTTTTCCTTCTATTAATCAAAAGAAACTTCAAAGTCAATGGGATGGTCAGATCTAATAGGCTGAGAACTTGTTGCCCTCCAAGTATTTCATGAGAAAGCTGCTTACGAATCATGCAGACTTTCGCCATGATGTGGAGAGTTTGACAGATCTTTCAAACTAAAGGTAACGACTTAAAAAAACAAAAGGTTTCCCAATTGGAGAAGTGAAATGAATTATTCAGGTGGCAAGCAAATGTGTGGTAATCATTTTGTAAGACATCCTTGAGTAAGAAATTGAAGACTGGATTGAGAAAATTGATTATTAAATTTCCCACTGGGTTGTACATATATGTCTATAAAACATTTTGTGAGGAATTTTAGGAATTTTCAAGGATAATTTTGACTTGTGCTGAATAATTTGTAATGCCACTAAAATTTGAATCCAGATTTGATTACATCAGACTTAAGGAAACAGATCACAGAAATCTAAGACTGATACAGTACCAATGTTGAGAATTTCTTACAAGAAGTTCAAAGAGCCCATGTGATTTTCTTTTCCCTTTTGACCTCTAAAATAATATTTCTAGAAATAGAAGACTTGTTAAATCACTTACCTGAAGATAGTGCTCCTTTTGAAGTTGTTCTTTTAGACTCAAATAAATATAATGGGTTTTTAAAAATCTGCTTAAAATATGTAGAAGTACCTGAGATGCTAAGATTTTTTTCTTTTTGCATGAGTATTTCCTTTGATGAAAGCAGTCTGTTGCAAACTATGAGCTTTTGTCTTTGTTTCTGGTAAAAAGAGGACAGACAGTAACATTTTGAGATATATTGCCACTGTGTTCTGTCAGACTACTTAAAATTGTGTCATGTGGTTATTTCACATAACAAAATGTTGCATTTCAGGACAATTTGAATAGAATACACTCTTTTCTTTTTGTTAGAGCATATTAAACTCCAGTAAATTAAAGCAACAACAAATTTTTATGGTAGTCTCTTTTATTTTTGGCTTTCTTATAAGTCAAGGACTTAATCTGGACACAATATATTTTTCTTATTGAAATGTCATAGATTGTGATAGGGTTATAGTAGCAGAAATGGAAAAGAAGAAGGATATTCTAGAAAGAGATATTATTATTCAACAGAAAATTGGGCTCTTATCCTCCTGGCTCCGGGTCCAAAAGCAATGGTTTTTGTACTTTGAAGCCAAATGTAAAACAATATTCATCTATTTTAAATTATCAGTATAACTCCTTTCAAAATGTAAATGAGACTATATTAGGATAGAATTTTAGAAATCCTATAATTGTTTTGGAGAAAGAATTTTCTATTTTTCATTAGAGAATTTCCTTTCCTTATAAAGAGCAGGGCAAAAGTAGGATTACAGTTATAAAGAAGATGTGGTATATATACTGATGGACATTTAGGTTGCTTGAATATCTTGGCTATTGTAAATAATGCAGCAATGAACATAGCAATGCATGTATCTTTTTGAATTAGTGTTTTGGGTTTCTTCAGATAAATACCTAGAAGTGAATTTTGAGTCATAAGGTAGTTCTGTTATTAATTTTTTGAGGGACCTCCCTACTTTTTCATAGTGGCTTCACCAGTTTGCAATTTTACTAACAGTACCTGAGGATTCCCTTTTCCCAGCATGCTAACATTTGTTGTTTGTTGATTCATTCATGAATGATAGCCATTCTGACAGGTGTGAATTTAGAAGTTTTAATCTTAAAAGTATTCTGAAACTATTTGAAAAGACTAGAGTATACCAGGTATTCCACATTTACTTTTGTGAACCTTTTCATTGAATGCATTTAGTAAGTGTGATTCTTCATAATTTCTTATAACTTTTTAGAAATTTCCTAATTATTTGTATTTCTCATATTCCCCATGCTAGTTATTTAAATGTATATGGAATCAATACAGAATGCAGTTTTGTTAATTTTTATGATGCTTATTCTGTTTGTGGTGACTTAAAAATCATGTTTGATTGTCCTTTAAAATTTTACATGTGAGAACAATTGGAAAAATTCTTAGCAATTTTTATTTGTCATGATTAGGGTGAGGAACATGACAGATGGGCAATGCATTTTGACTCATTAAAAAGATATCCTGGGTCTCAGTCTCAACTGTCCTCTCGGTCATCACACAAACAACCAGAGTACTTCTGTGTCTCTCCGGACACTCAGGAGCTGGCTGATATCAGCAGTGTTTATACACCTACAACTGGAAGCCAGGTTGAACCTTCAGAAGAGGAGCATATAGCAAAACCTGTTAGAGGCATGGCAACGGCAAACAGTCAAAAAACAAAGTAAGTGTGTACTTCAGTACTGATGTTTTTAAAAGTCTGTGTGCTTTATTAGGACTGTTGCCATATTTATAATGTATCTTAACTGATTTCAGTTTTGGTATTTTTCTTTAAAGTAGAAATAATTAGTAGACATAATCCAAACAAAATGATTTCGTACCTTGTTAAACACATATTTTGGTGGTTTTAAATAGGTAATGTATCTCTTTGGCAGCTTTCTTCGTTCTATGACTGCTCTCTTGGACCCAGCTCAGATTGAGGAACGAGACAGGCGGCGACAAAAACAGTTAGAACATCAGGTATTGCATTGTAAAGTATTGTTATTTTGCCTTATTTATGGGCAGTAGATGCCTAAGTAAATATAAATAAAATTAAAGCATAAACTTATAGCATAGGCCCTGTTCAGTCCATTGGTGAATCTAATTTGTACTTCAGCTGTCATTATATTAAAGTTATACTCATACTGAGAATCAGACAGTATCTTATAGTGCAGCCACCTGCCTTCCAAAAGAGATTTTTAATGTATAGGTTGTATATGTGAAATAACACTAAAATTACGTTAGTATTGGATACTTTTTTCATTAGTTTAATTCTCCTGAATCCTGTCAGGATGAGAATTACTTTCTGTATACTGATAAACTTATTTTAGAAACACCAAAACAAATGCATCCTGAGTTGTTTTTTTTTTTAATTTGTGACAATAATTATGTGATTGTTTTCAACTAGAAAGCCATCACTGCTCAGGTGGAAGAAAAGCGTAGGAAGAAGCAGCTGCAAGAAGAGCAGAGAAAGAAGGAAGAACAAGAAGAGGAGCTTCGTTTAGCACAGGAACGAGAAGAGATGCAGAAACAGTATGAAGAAGACATACTTAAGCAAAAACGAAAGGAAGTAGGTATCTATATTTTAACCATAACATTTTAGAGTAAAAATGGATGTTCTTAAAAATTGTGAAGCTCTATGAAGAAATATTAAAGCTTTGCATAAAGAAAGTTATGAAGGTTAAGGAGGAATCTGGAGGTTTTCTTTCAAATGATTAGATCACAAATGCTGTATTGCTGAAATGCTTTTTTCTCTGCTAAAGAGGAAGTCAAGATGAGTTATTACAGCACAAAACAGAAGTTATCTATGATCTTGGTTTTGAAATGTTCTCTAAGCAATAATTATTTATATTAATAAATGTTTTAGAAATGTTAAGAAAAATGATCGACCTTTCTGTCTGTATCCTCTTGTGAATAGAAGTATATATTTGCAGAGTTATTGGCTGGGATTGATAATACAATTTGTTGCTGTGTTAGAGGTTTCCTCTGTGCTAAGTAAAGGTCTTTTAAAAAGAGTAGATATTTGAGTGATTAGGAGCATACCTAATAGGGGTGTCCAACCTTTCGGTGCCTCTGGGCCACACTGGAAGAAAAAGAGTTGTTTTGGGCCACACATTAAATATATTGCAACATGTAATCACAAAAAGTTTCAAAATGTTTTAAGTAAATTTACAATTTTGTGTTGGGCTGCATTCATAGCTATACTGGACTACATGCAACCCTCGGGCTGTGGGTTGGACACCCCTGGCATAAGACGTACAGACAACATAGTTTATGTTGGTGTCAAGCTGAACTGACAAAGAACAACTCATACAATCACATCAGTTGCCAAAGATTCTTGAGGTTTACAAAGTAGAACATAGTGCACTTCCCCTGGAGTTAGGAGGTGGGACTGAGAGCTTTCATTTTATTGCCTTTTCCATTGCAGCCTTTACTCCAAAATTAGCTGATGAAAGGGCACATGGTCTGGGTTTTGATTTCATTATATTGAGTAGGCTGAGCCAACTACTCCTATGAAATAACTATATACATGAAAAAAGATCAAAGTATCATTTGTTTGAATTGTAATAAATGTCCACAGACCTTGTGTTTTATCTCTTAATAATCTATTTTTAATCTTAATAGAATTCTGATGGAATGGACAATTGGTTTAGAAACTTTGAAAGCTTTATAGTATAAACTTGAATGTAAAAGTGTTTTTATATATGTGGTCTAATGCAGCTGTAAAAAAGATTAGACTTCTAGTCAAAATGCTGAAGTAGGTAAACACTGTGCTCATCTCCTCCCATGATTACATCCAAATTACACCTAAACTACAGAACAACCATCATCAATAACTGCCTGAAGTCTAGCTGAACAGAAGTCCTATAACGAAGGACATACAGAAGAAGCCAGGTGGAGACTATTAGGAGGGGCAAAGACATAGAATAGGATGCTCCCATGCCTACATTTGGTGGTTAAAAATTGGGAGGGATATCTCGGTTGTGGAGGTTCCCATAGAAGCAGGGATTCCCAGCCCCACACCAGGCTTTCAGCCCACAGTTCCATTGCCAGGAAGAAGCCCCCATAACTTTTACTGTGAAACCAGCAGATACTGTGGTCTGAGACGGAATGAGATGGAGGTTTTCTGGAGTTGCAGGGCCCATTCATAGATTTACTCACTGACAGACTCACTCACTGTAATCTCCCGCCTTGGGGCAGCAGCTTGAAAAGTGCCAGGGTAGAACTGAATTGTCTGAGTTTGGGACAAGGGCTGGAGAGACAGCTTTCCTCCCAGACAGAATTGCTGGAAGAAGCTGTTGTTCCTTTGTTGTGCCCTAACCACACCCAGCCTGCAGGCTTAAATGGGTGCCAGATCTGAACCTCCATCAACCTAACACCATTCACCCTGCCTGGTGAGTCTCTGATACCCTGCCCCACCCAGCTTTTGGGCTCACCCAAGTTGCTTCCAGTGCCTTTTCCATGCCAATGACCTGTCTTGGCTTGTGCTATGGACTTTCCTAAAATCTCTCAAGGGTTCACAAACCCCATACAAGCAGCATCTGGTCTTGATGTGTTCTGTACCTTTTGCTAGGCAGCCCCAAGTGCAGGACTAGCAGCAGCCTACCTCATTTTGCAGCTTAGCCTCTCCCTTGCACCTCCATGCCTAGCACAAGTTGCAGCCATCTTCTACAGAGTGTCCCTGGGCAGGGCACTGGCAGTCGCTGACCTTGGCCTGAACTGGAGGCCCCAGAACTAACACTCACAGTGGCCAGCTTCAGACTACACCAGAGCATCACTCAACCACCTCTACAAACTACACACCTAAGGGCAGACTCTGGAGGCACCAGAGCCCCACTAAAGAGAATCTGGCTTCATGGGGTCAACACCTACACAATAGTTCTTCTGCTATAGACACGGCCAGTCCTCACAACTGACCAGTGAGGGTCAGTCCCACCAATTGATGAGCCAACAGCAATAAAGGCTCAAGTACAACAGGAAAGCACACATTACTTACCCAGGAGACACACCTGGAGTACCTGGCTCAGGTGACCAGGTAGATTGAGCCACTGGGCCTCATAGGACCTTTACGACATACAGCCACACTGCCAAGACTGGGAGATGTGGCCACTTTATATAATACGTAGAAACAAACACAGGGAGGCAGCCAAAATGAGACAAAAAACATGTCCCAAATGAAAGAATAGAACAAAACTACAGAAAAAGAAGTAAACTAAATGGAGACATGTAATCTATCAGATGCAGAGTCCAAAATGCTGGTTATAAGGATGCTCAATGAAATTTGGAGAAGAACAGATAATCTCAGTGAGAACTCCAACAAAAAGATAGGAAACTTGAAAATAAAGATAGAACACATAAAAAAGAACTATTCAGAAGTAAAGAATCCAATAACTGAAATAAATAATATATTAGAGGTAATCAACAGTAGATCAGGTGAAGGAGATAAAGCAGAGGATTAAATCGATGATTTGCATGACAAGGTAGCAGAAAACACCCAGTCAGAACAGCATAAAGAAAAAAGAATCCAAAAAAATGAAGCCAGTTTAAGGGACCTTTGGGACAACTTCAGGTGTAGTAGCATTTGTATCATAGGGGTGTCAGAACCAAAGGAGAAAGGAAGAAATTGAAAACTAATTTGAAGATATAATGATGGAAAACTTCTATAATCTGGTGAAGGATATGGACTCACATGCCTAGGAAGCACAGGAGTCCTAAACAAGAATGAACTTAAACCCATACTAAGATACATCATAATTAAAATGTGAAAGGATAAATACAAAGAGATTTTTAAAAGCATCAACACAAAATCAGTTACCTACGAGGGAACTCACATAAGCCTGTCAGCTGATTTCTCAGCAAAAACTTGCAGGCCAGAAGGGATTGGCATGAAATATTCAAAGTGGTGAAAAGCAAGGACCTACAACCAAGAATACTCTACCCAGCAAAACTGTCATTTAGAGTCAAAGGACAGATAAGGAGCTTCCCAGACAAAAAACTAAAGGAATTCATCATCAAACCAGTATTATAAGAAATGTCCAAGGGACTTCATTAAAAATAAGGAAAATACAAATACCAAAAATATGAATAATAAAATGTTCGTAACTACATATCTGCCAATAATTACTTCAAATGTAAAAGATTAAACGCCCCAGTAGAAAGACATAGGGTGGCTAAATGGAAAAGAAAACAAGACCCATACATATATTACCTGCAAGAGACCTACTTCAAATCAAAGACACAGACTGAGAGTAAATGGGTAGAAAAAGATATTTCATGCACTGGAAAAAACAAAAAAAGCTGGGGTAGCAATACTTATATCAGACAAAATAGGCTATAAAATAAAGCCTGAACTAAGAGACAAAGAAGGACTCAGCGATTCCATATCTGGGTATTAATCTGAAGAAACTCCAAACATTAATTGAAAAAGTCATATACATCTCTATTCATTGTAGCATTATTTACAGTAGCCAAGATAAGGAAGCAGCCTAAGTGTCCATCGATAGATAAATGTTTAAAAAAGAGGTGGTATGTATATACAATGGAATATTACTTAGCCACAAGAAAGAATGGAATCTTGCCATTTGTGACAACATGGATGGACCTAGAGGGAATTATGTTAAATGAATGAGTCAGAGAAAGACAAATACCACATGATTTCACTTACATGTGGAATTTAAAGAACAAAATAAATGAACAAACAGAACAAAAAGCGATTCACAGATACAGAGATCATTTGGTTGATTTGTCAGATGGGGGAGGGCTGGGTGAAAAAGGGGAAGGGATTAAGATGTCCACATTGACAGTTAGAAAAAGTCACAGGGATGTAAAGTACAACATAGGGACTATGGTCAGTCATATTGTAATAACTATGTGTGGTGTCGGATGAGTTCTAGACTTATTGGGATGATCACTTTTTAAGTTGTATATCTGTGTAATCACTCTGTTTTACTTGAAACTGATACATTGTATATCAACTGTAATTGAAAAATTTTTTTAAATTATTTAAAACATTAAAATCTTGTAAATCAACAACAAAACTACAGAAACCTAATAAAAGAATGAACAAAAGACTGGAACAGGTCATTCACAATTCTACAAAAGGAGAAGAGTCAATGAATACTTAGGAAGAAACTCAATCTCATTAATCATCAGTGAAATGTAAATTAAAACTACAATGAAGTGCCATTTTATATCCACCAGAATGGCTAAAATTAGAAAGAGTGATATTGCCACCCTGGCAAGTGTGGCTCAGTGGATTGAATGCTCACCTGCAAACCAAAAGGTCACTGGTTCAATTCCCAGTCAGGGCATATGCCTGGGTTGTGCGCCAAGTCCCCAGTAGGGGGCACTTGAAAGGCAACCACATACTGAAGTTTCTCTCCCTCTCTTCCTCCCTCCTTTTCCCTCTCTCTAAAAATAAATAAACAAAATATGTTTTTAGAAAAGGAAGAATACTCATTTTAAAAAATAAAAATAAAAAAACTGATATTGCTTTTAAAAAATAAGAAATTAAAATGTAGGCTTCAGAAGGGAAGGAATTTGCCATGTTGACTGTTCTACTCCCAGTATCTTGAATATAGCCTGGCACATAGTAGGAGCTAAGAATATATCTACTGAGAGAGAATAGTCAAGTTTGTATGTGTTTGGTAATTTATTTAATAAATTTTTGTACTTTATTATTGATAGGAAATTATAACTCTCAAGACAAATGAGCTGTTCCAGGCGATGCAGAGAGCACAGGAGCTGGCACAGAGACTAAAACAAGAACAGAGAATTCGAGAACTGGCTCAAAAGGGACATGACACTTCTAGATTGATTAAAAATCTTGGCGGTAAGCACCTAACTAGAATTTTATTTATAATATTTTTTGTAGTTGATTATAAATAATTGACTATTTTAAGTACCTTTGACACCCCTATTAACTAAATATTTTTTATGGAATTTTAGACCTTGAACTAATAATGTATCTTTATAATGCATTTATGGGGAGAAGATTGCCTTAAAGAGTACAACTAAATAGTGTTAACACTTTTCAGTATGTTTTCACATAATTTTCTTGTTTTGCTCACAATAGGTAAAATAAGTACTTTTGTACCCATTTTTATGGAGACATCTCTTAAGTGGTCTCCCTGTATTCAATAAGGGATAAGAATGCATGTAATTTTTTGCAAGAAATGTTAGGCTAACCCTTGTACATTTTTTTGCATTGTTCATATTGATTAGTTAACAGTCTCGTTCATATTTAGTTTCTGCTACTCAAAATTTCTCTTACTATTCCTCAACTGTCATCTTATCAAATTATTTATTTCTCTTGCCAGTTGATTCAGTAAAAGTAGAATTTAATGAATCTGCTAACAACATTTCAAATTCAGAACAACGTTTGGATAAAGTCAGTGATAAAGTGAATACATGTGTCAGTTCTATGAACTCTTCTAAGAAGGACACTGGTGTGCAAACAGGTATTTGTTTTGAAATTGTTATTTGGTTTAAAATTTACTTAAAGTCAGAATTGGAGCCAAGTTCAATTAATTTAAAGTTTAAAAATTAAAGGAATTGAAGATTTTAGAAAGTTAAAAAGTAAAAGGATGTCTCGGTTTTTTAATTCTCTATAACAACTTTATTGAGATATAATTCACATAATATGAAATTAACCCTTCTTACAATTCAGTGTTTTTTTAAAGATTTCAGTTTAGTTTTTATATTCAGAGTTGTACAACCATGATTACAATGAATTTTAGAATATTTTTATTATTCCAAAAAGAAATCCAGTACCCATCAAGAGTCACTCTCCATTTTCTCCCTCCTCTCCATTCCTAGGCAGCCACTAATCTATCTTCTGTCTATAGATTTGCCTATTCCAGATATTTCATATCATTGGAATCATACCTATAGTGTGGTCTATTGTGTCTGGATTTTTTTTACTTAGCACAGTGTTTTAAGGTTCATCCACGTTGTATCATGTATTAGTAATTCATTTTTATCACTGAATAATATTCATTTTATGGATATCCCACAATTTGTTTATTCCTTCATCATTTAATGGGCATCTGGGTTTCTTCTACTTTTTGGCTATTATGAGTATGCTGGTATAAAAATTCATGTGCAAGTTATTGTGTAGACAGAAATTTTCAGGTCTCTTGGCAGAGATGAGTAGCATTGCTAAGCCATATAGTAACTGTATGTTTAGCATTTAGGGGAACTACCAAACTAATTTGCAAAGCAGCTTTACCATTTTATATTTCCACACACAATGTTTGAGGTTTCTCATTACTCTATATCCTTGTTCACAATTATAATTCTTAAGGTTGTAAAGTGGTTTCTCAATATGGTTTGATTTGCATTTCCCCTGTGACTAATGATGTTGAGCATATTTTTATATGCTCATTTAAAATTTCTACATAGGTAATAAGGTAATATCCATATTGGATCCCATTATCATAGGTCTTTATGCTTACTGTGAACTCTTTCAGGCCTCCACCTATCTGTCTCAGAAATCTTTCCTTTTTTTTTTTTTAACAACTTCCAGGCAATCTCTTTACCCTTTCTTTTTCTTTTTATTTTTTTTATTAAAGGTATAACTTGCATGTAACATTGGTTTCAGGTGTATAATATCATGATTTAGTATTTGTATATATTTCAAAATGATTACCACAAGAAGTCTAGTTATCATTTATCACCATACAGAGTTACAAATTTTTTTATTGTATTTTTTTATTTTTAAGTCATGTTAATTCTATTACAGTTGTCTCAGTTTATCCCCCTCATCCCTCCTCCACCCATCGCACCCCGCCCTCCTCTCCCACAGTCAATTCCCACTCTTTTGTCCACGTCCATGAGTCATTCATACATGTTCTTCGTTTAGTTCCTTCTTCTTTCCACTATTGTCCTCCTTCCCTATCCCCTCTGGTCACTTTCAGTCTGCTTGATGTTTCCCTGGCTGTGGTTTATTTTGTTTGTTAGTTTATTCTGTTGAATAGAGTTCACTTATAAACGAAAGAAGTGAAAAGAGAAAAGAGAAAATAAGGCTTATTCAACATATAAGGTGCATGGATCACTATTATTTGACATAAAACAAATATAGAGCCCTGTTTCACACATTATACAACAAATATTCAGGTGAGTTAAAATCAATATGTAAAATCTAAGGAGTTTTAGGAGAAAATACAAAATAATATTTTTCTTAACCTGTAGTAACATATTCAAACCCAGAAGCTATAAAGTAAGATATTGACAATATGACTATATTAAACATTTAAGACTACACAGTAGTAGTCATGTAAAAAAAGTTAAGGGGCAAGTAATAGAATAGGAAAGTATTTGCAACACATCTATAAAAGGATTAATAGTTTTGTTTCTTTTTGGGGGGGAAAAAATTCTACAAATATTTAATCAAAAAATGGATAAAGAACACCAAAAAGTCATGTAAAGCTTTTTTTAAAAAATAATAGTAATAGGCAAGAAATATACAAAAACAGGTTTAGTTTCAACAAATAATAAAGGAACAATTAAAATAACACATCATTGTCTCAATTAGATTAATAAGTATTAAAAATATTGGTAATATCAAGTATGGCAACTGTGAAAGAAACTGGGTATTCATAAACTCTTTTTCTTCATCTTCTTAAAGTAGTCCCTTTAGCATATTTTGCAGTGCTCGTTTGGTGGAGGTGTATTCTTTTAGCCTTCTTTTGTCTGGGAAACTCCTTATTTGCCTTCCATTTTAATGGAGAGCCTTGCTGGGTCGAGCAGTCTTGGTTGCAGGCCTTTGCTTTTCATTCCTTGGAATATTTCTTGCCACTCCCTTCTGGCTTGCAGTGTTTCTGTCGAGAAGTCAGCTGCTAGCCTTATCAGGGTTCTCTTATATGTTAGTACCTGTTTCTCCCTTGCTTCCTTTAGGATTCCCTGTTTGTCTTTGATATTTGTCATTTTAATGATGATGTGTCTTGGAGTGGGCCTCATTGTGTTCCTCTTGAATGGGACCCTCTGTGCTACCTGGACTTGTGTGACTTTTTCTCTCCTCCAATGAGGGAAGTTTTCCATCATTACCTTTTCAAACAGGTTCTCTATCCCTTCTTCATTCTCTTCTCCTTGTATCCCTATTATACGGATATTACTACATTTCAGGTTGTCCTGCATTTCTCTAAATGCCTCATCATTCTTTCTGAGTGTTTTTTCATTTTCTTGCTCTTTCTGGGAGCTTTTTTCTACCTTGCCCTCCAGCTCGCTGATTCGATCGTCAGTTTCATCCAGCCTGCTTTTGATTCCTTCTACTGTGTTCTTCAATTCAGAAATTGTATTCTTCATTTCCTCTTGTCTCTTATTGATAGTTTCTATGTCCTTTTTCATGCTGATACAGTTTTCAGTAAGTTCCTCATAGTTTCCCTGTAGTTTTTGGTAATTCTCTCTGAGCTCACTGAGCTCATTGAGGTTCCTTAGAACCATTGTTTGGAACTCAATATCTGATAGTTTACTTGCCTTTGTTTCATTTAGTTCTTTTTGTGGGGATTCCTCCTTTCCCTTCGAGTGGGCCGTATTTCTCTGTCTTCCCATGATTTGTGAGACTCTTCTTTTTTGCTTCTGCTTCTTAAATTGATCTGTCTTGATTTCCTCACTTTGTGGTGTGAACTTCTATGGTAGGAGACTGCTGTTTTTTACTTTCTGGATCTGCCTCTGATGATGTCAGATGTTGACCCTGTCTGACTTTAGGCACTCTTTTCGAGACTTCCAGGAACCTGCTATCTGTGGCTGTCTCCTTCAGCTGTTAATCTGGTCACTCTGCACTCAGCAGGCCTGCTTAGAGACAGCACAGGGAGGGGCTGAGTCCCTCCTGGGGGAGGGCTTATTGGGTCCTCTCATGCTGCTAGCAGCCGCTCAGGGGTGTGGTCTGCCTGAGCCAAATGGCTGCTGCAATATGGGGGAGGAGTCAGCACCAGGATCTCCCTGGCTACTCTCTCCGTTCTTTCCTCAAAGCCTCCATCCCGAGTCTGTCCTTAAGTGTGTCTAGACCACTCTGCACCCCCTTTAGTCGGGAATTCTACCATGTGTGGCTGCAACTCTGTACTCAGCTGTCAGGTTTTGGCACTATCAGGCCTAGGCCAAGCCTCCTGGGGGCAGGGCTCTAGAGGCCTCTCATGCTATTGCTGCTCAGGTGAGTGGTCTTCCTGAGCAAGATGTTTGCTGCCACATGGGGGAGGAGTCAGCACTGGGATCCCGCCAGCTACTCTCTCCGTTCTCTCCCCAAAGCTTCCTTCCCCCGTCTCTCCTCAGGCATCTCCAGCCCACTCTGCCTCCGCCTTTGCTGGAAATCAGGGTAAGTGGCTGCAAACAAAAATTTATGCCTTGGCCATTTAAAGGGCTATTTGCGTCTCCAGCCACTTGTCTCTAGCAGAGAGCAACCCTGCCGCTTTTCACAGCTGGCTGTTTTCTGTGTACTTTTTGAGCTCTGGTACTGTAGGCTGGAGATCATGCTTATGGTTTAGACCCCTCTCCTCTCAGGGGGATCCAAATAGCATTTCAATATCCTTCTGGTTCTGCCTCCCGTGGGCACCCTGCTCGATTTCTCAAGTCTCTACCTCACTCCTTAACGGTTAGTTTGTGCTAAAGCTGATTCTTCTGTCTGTCCAATGTTAAAAGGCTCCTCTCTCACTTCTGTTCAGTTGTTTGTTTCAAGTGATTTCTCCACAATTTAGTTGTAATTCCAGGTTGGTCCCCGGAGGAGGTCAGTGTGACTTCCACTCCTCCGCTATCTTGATTCTCCCCCAATTTTTTTTTCTTTTGATGAGAACTTTTAAGAATTACTCTCTTACCAACTTACTAATACTCAATACAGTACCTTATTTTTTTTCAAACGTCACCCAATTTTATTGATTTCAGAGGGAGAAGAGAGAAAGAGAAAACATCCCTGTGAGAGAAACATCAATTCATTGCTTCCCATATGCGCTCTTACTGGAAATAGAACCTACAACCTACCTATGTGCTCTGATAGTGGATGAGCCCACAACTCTTTGGTGTATGGGATGACACTCCAACCAACTGAGCCACCGGGCCAGGAAATAACAGTATTATTAATTAATATAGTCAACCCTTGAACAACATGGGTTTGAACTACACTGGTCCAATTTTATGTGATTTTTTTTTTCAGTTGACTTGTGTACTTAAGTTGACCCATGCAGTTCAAACCCATGTTGTCCAAGAGTCAGTCAATGGTTGGGAATCTGTGAATGTGGAGGGCCAATTGCAGTTATATGTGGATTTTCAGTGATGCAGGAGAATGGTACCACTAAGCTTCACATTGTTCAAGGGTCAGGTGTAGTCACCATGTTACTGAACAAAAAAAGAAGCAGAGGTTCAGCTGCCTGCTGGCACAAAAGCCAAACTTGAAAGGTGGGTGCTGATGCAAAAGGAAAGAGGTTTGATTTGTATACCATGCTGTCTTGGAGAATGGGGGACTCCCCAATAC